CCCTGTGCGACATATACACACAAAATCAAGATACAATAATATCACATTTTGGTATCATAACATTCTGGAGGACTTTTGAGAATTTTATGGATAGAAAATCCATCAAACGAGAGATCTAGATCTAGATTTAATCCTAACGGCTTATGAAAGAAGCCTGAGTGAGCTGCTCTCCTGCCTAACAAGAACAATTGGAAGGCGACAAAATTGTGGTTTCTAAGACTGGACATAAAGGGCTTCAATCAATCATCACTCCGGGCAGATTGAAGGGAGGAGGCAGGGGCAGACCCAGAGAAGTATAAAATGGGAAACTGAGGAGACATGTGACGAGGAAACACGAGGACGTAAGAATTTTGAGAGCATCCGAGGGGAGAAAATAAACGGAGAACCAAGATCGCCGATGATGATCCGTCTGGCACTTCGTGGTGATGATGATTCGCCTATCATCATCAGAACAAACAATAATAAAGTCGGGGAGATTTTTCGAAAAGGGAAAGTAAGAAAGACTAATGATTAACAACAGACCTGATCAGTTTGTGCAGATATAATCATCTTGTTCACATGTAGAGTATGGCACACGGCGTTTCCCCTCGGAACTCGGAACTTGGGTAGATAAATCTACTGCTCGTGAAGTCGCGCCCAACAAACTGTGACTCGTCTTCGTCTGTCGTCTGTCGTCTGCTCCGCTGCCCGCTGGTGAGTCTTGTTAACTTTTGACTTGCGCACTGACCTTTCAAGTCGAAGTTGTGCCAGTTTGTCAAGCACTCATCTTTTTTTTTCAGAACACAGATTGAATTATAGCCTAGGCCTAATATCATTTGCCTTGTTAAATTCAAGCCTATAAACCTTTGCAACTTGAGAAAGAAAGTTAGCATAAGTTATAAGTCTTTAAAAAGAATGAAATATTACGATAGTCTAGCCCCTCTGGACATTAAGCGCAAGAGCTTGCTGTTGAGCGGGGATAGGTGATACACAAATTAGGCTGTGCAATATATTTATATTTTTATATTTAAATAAACAGTAACAATTTAGTAAAATATATGAGTGTTAAGCATCACGTGAGCATTTGTGATAATAAGTATTGTTCAGTTATAGAATCTAGTACAAAATCATTATTAGGCCTACTTTTCTTAATTTTGGCGATCGCGGATTTGCATTTTATTATTTAGACTTTCGGAAGAATGATGGTCCATAGCCTACTAAAACTCAAAGTGGCAATGGTGAAACTTGTTTGAACCAACAATAGATCAAATCAAACGACAAAATTCCTCTTTTTTAATTGTATTATTAAAATAAAGTAATCTCGAATCTTATTTACTTTTACAATCTAACCAAAAATAAAGTTAGATTCCATGGTTAATGTTATAGACACATTTTGGAATTTTGTTTAAAGAGTCAAACTGGGTAGCCACCCTCTCTCAATTTTTCGACCGTCGCAGTTTTTAATAATCGTTATTGACCTCGGCAATGTTGAAATAGCCGAGCTCCTGGAAAACCAATCAACGAGTATTTTAAATTTAAATTGTCTCGCGCCCTCAAAGTCAAAGCGAAATCGAGGCGCGCGCCAATGAGTGTTTCAATTCATGAATATTCATAACGGCACACTTTTAAACGATAAAGTTATCGAGAGTATGACTATGGGAATGAGAGTAATTGAGCAGTTTTCTTTTGTCCTCGCTTTCCATTTCACGTAGCCTATGATCGTACTCTCTCTAAACGTAAAGCGGGGGCTCTCGTGGCCTAGAGGTTAAGGTGTTCGCCTCTCATTCAAAGCACCCGGGTTCGAATCCGGGTAGCGACCAAAATATTTTCTTCTCTAAATTTGTCTCCTTTCACCTCCTTTGCTTCTCTCTAGCAATGTTCTGTCGTCTGCTTTCGTCTCCTCTTTCTGCCCCCACCCCTTCACCTCCTTTGCCCCCTCCTCTGGGCTCCTGATTCTTTCTGCAGCCTTTCTACTGCTACTCATTGGCTTCTTCTTACTGCTGTCTTTCAGCCACACCCCTGATCTTCTGGTAGGAAAGATCTACACCTAGCCTTCTCGGACAAGGGCGAAAAATCTCGGAGGTCCCGTGTGCAAGTTGTGCACGTTAAAGATCCCTTGGTGGTCTAAAATCGATAAGAGTAGGCTTCGGCCGCCACCCGGGCAAAATTCAAAATTTCCTACCAACTGAAAAAGTTTAGTGTGTCCCGCGCGCTCATATGACCTTATGCGCCGTAAAACACTTACAAAAACAAAACGTAAAGCAACGTTAAAACCCTTTCCCCACCGGCTGGGTGTAATACACCCACCTGACCACTTTGTAAGGACATAACTCCGAAAGCGTTCAATCCACACACTTGTGCTTCTATGTAATCCTCAAATGGGGTGTATTTAACGCTCTGATCTATCAGTATCAGAAATGTTCATATAATAAATGTGTGGGAGATGACTACGGGTCAAAAATTTTTATGGCGATTCCTACCAGGTGGGTGTTGTCCACCCGTGCATTTTTTTGTAAGGAAATACTGGCTGGGTGGTTCTCACCCATACACTTTCTACTTTCTATGGACTTTATATAGAGAGAAGGATCAGGCAGGTTGTTGTGTGAATCAATCCCAACTAACAAGTGTCAAACATGTGATGTGAAAAAGGTTATAGAGGCATGAAATAAATGGAAAGAACTTTTAATTTTCAACTGAAACTTGAAACCAGAACAGGAATAAGGAGACAATTTTCGTTTGATTTATTTTAAACCATGATTTAAATATAGATCTAGAATCTAGATCTAGTTTTGTTTTTGTTTTTCAATCTTAAAGTTATTGTAAAATTGTCTAAAATATTTTTAAAAATGACCGTGGATTGACAAATTCAATACATGTACATGTAATTTTCGAAGGTCATGGTCGAATTTTGTCTTATTACTTATTATGTCAAATTATAATATCTTTTGTCACATCCATGAAGGAAAGTATGTGTGTGTGTGTGTGTGTGTGTGTGTGTGTGTGTGTGTGTGTGTGTGTGTGTGTGTGTGTGTGTGTGTGAGTGCGTGTGTGTGTGTGTGTGAGAGAGAGAGGGTGTGTGTGTGTGTTTGAGAGAGAGAGAGAGAGAGAGAGAGAGAGAGAGAGAGAGAGAGAGAGAGAGAGAGAGAGAGGAGTAGAGGAAAGTGGGGAGGGGGGTGAATGAAGTGCAAGCACACGTACTCAGAAATAGCGAGAGAGAGAGAGAGAGAGAGAGAGAGAGAGAGAGAGAGAGAGAGAGAGAGAGAGAGAGAGAGAGAGAGAGAGGGGGGGGAGGGTAGGGTAAAAGTGTGACTTCCTCCTCTAAATGTTGTGATGAAAGATTATCGTATACCTTGACATAAGATTTGAGAATCAAATTGTACATTGTACTACTTTGGCTAAAAATCAGGAAGACAACAGGGCGGTGAAAAGGTTTTAGTTTAGTTTTAGTAAGAGTTTTACGGCACTTGCAACACAATAAGATCATATAAGTGCCGAAGATTAGAGGTGTTACAAGAGAGTAACAAACACCAAAAAGAAGGAGTGGAGATAAAGACGATATATTATGGTCAATTGGTCGCTTTTTTTAAGGACAAGGGGGCTATCCCGAAAAATGCTGTAGTGAGAAAATCGAAGATATAAAGTTTTTGCGCCTTGGTCAGTTTCTTTAAAAAGGACAAGGAGAGTTTTCTCTATAACCTAACAATTATACACACCAATGAAACCAAACTTCTCCTATTGGTAGGGCAATGCCCACTTTTGGTGTAGGTCAAGATTTCTGGAAACCTCCGAAATATGGGTTAGTCCGCTTGTCCTCAAAAGCGACTATATGTTTAATAGGAAAGAAGAAGCAAACCACTCCAGAGCACCCGCCAACCACCCACACCCAGCCTGTCAGGCCCACCCCACATTGGGAGGGTTACATAATGTGGTTTCTTTTTTTTCTTAGTTTTTGTAGCTTTATTTTCAATTTACTTTTATCCGCCGCTTATACTTATACCCTTTTGGGTGTCGCGGGAAGAAAGAGACGTCTCTCTGTCGCCAGCCGGAGAGCTTGGGTCAGGGGGATGCCGTGGGTGGTTAATGTTTCCTTGACTCCGAGACATCTATCCAGGTCTTTCTCGGTCGCCCTCTAGCCTTGTTGCCATCGATTTTTTAAAATGTAGGCACGTTATGCTGGATGGTGTGTGGTAATCGAAGGAGATGTCCGAACCATTTGATTCTTTGGTGTTGGATGTGATGCATGACATCATTTGTGCCCGCCATTTCTGGGATTACAATGTACTGAGTTTCTAATTTTGTCTCGCCTGGTCTTGTTTACTGCTTTTCTAAGGCAGTTTTTGTAGCAATAATAAAATATAATCCACAGCCGACTTGCTAGGCCTGTCACAGTTTCACCAGAGCCCCGTTAGCCTGCAACTTTTCAATGGCAACAAGGCCAGAGGGCGACGGAGAAAGACCTGGATAGATGGAGTCAGGGAAACACTAGTGACTAACAACTCATGGCATCCCCATGACCCAAGCTCTCCGGCTGGTGACAGAGAGACGCCTTTTTCTTCCCACGACACCCAAAATGCCCAAAGGGTATAAGCGGGGGATCAAAGTAGAAAGTAAAGTAAACATGATGTCACAGCTGACAGATCATTGCCTTTCTCACCCTGCACCAGGGTACAGGCCACGGACAAACACTTTCCTCCTTTCTCTATCCCGGGATAGCCTCTTGATACTTGGTGTTACTCCATGTCTTCCCACTTTTCTGTACATTGATTTCTGTGATTCTTCTCCAGGTTCCACGCGGTCTTCCCCTTGACTTGATCTATTACCCTGAGGGTTCCAATCCAAAACTTTCTCTGTTATGCAGCTGCCTGACTTCCTGAGAGTATGTCCAATCCATCGCCACCGCCTTCTTCCTGCCTCATCTCTGACTGGGATCTGTCTTGTTTTCCTTTTAACACTTCTACATTGGTGACCCCTTCTGTCCATCTGATCTGACAGATAATCTTTGAAAATTCTCCCCACGAAGGAATGAGAACCCATGTCTTCTGGGTGCGGCGGTGAAGCGCCTAACCACTACACCACAGACAAATCCTTTTTTAAAGTTTTTGTCAGCTTCTTTTTTTTTCTTTAAGAGTTTTATGGCACTTGCAACACAATAAGGTCATATAAGTGCCGAAGACTAGAGGTGTTACAAGGCAGTAACAAACACAACAATGAAGGAAGGGAGAAAGATATGCTAGATGTTTGATAGGAAAAAAGGACAAGCAAACCACACCAGAGCACCCGCCAACTACCCACTCTGTCAGTTTTATAGCTCTTGTAAAACAATAAACCACACCTGAACACCTGCCAACCATCTACCGTACAGACAAAATCTACAACAAGAGAGGAGAGTGAATTCCAAAAGTTTATTATTTAATAATCATCTTTGCATGTACACATCTGATCAAGATTCTTTACAGAGTTGGGAGTCATTGGAGGAAGAAAAACAAACCATTCTGGGGACAAAATATTCTCTATGATACAAGCACATGTTTACAGAAAAACTTGGCAGCAAAAATAGAACCTACTGCAATTCATAGAGAAAATAATTAACTCCCTGACCTTACTTAATAACAAAATCGACCATGCGAGAATTTTATTCCAAGCTTGAGAAAGAAATGGGCGTGGGGGAGGGAGCTATCTCCCCTCTCTGCTTACTGTTTAGTGCAATGTCTTTCCTTTTTTTACAGAAAAAAAGAAAAAATATGCTTAGATCAATAAATTATTTCTATAACTTGGTTAAACACTGTGAAAAATGGGGGGAAAAAAACACCCAAACAAATGTCTATCGTCATCCTTCAATAAGTTTGTAAAACCCCGAACTTTTTTTGAAAACATGTACAAAACTGACATATCTACCAACCAGTGTTGGTAAGTTTCTAAATGTCTCACAAGTTCAGCTAAGATCCATCCCTGATCACAGACAGCAGTTTCTGTCAATCCACCACAGGAGGTCAGAGTCACCCATGCGTGACCAGATTGCTTTTTATACTTATTGAGAGGGAGGGGGAAAAAAATTAATTAAAATACAAAACAAAAAATCCACAAAATACCATTTACTAGATCTCTAGGTGAAATAAATGTCAACTCATCATTCATCCATTTGATGGTGCCCATTCCAAGAATAATTCAAAGTCAATGAATGCGGTGATAAAAATGAGCATGCCCTATTATAACTGATGTCCAGTACAATACAAGATTGAAAATCTTACACACGATAAGCTTGACCGAGATGGAAAAAAAAATCATAACTCATTCATTTCTTTAAAAAATTTTTTTTTTTAGTGAATTTGAAAACTTTAGAATAGGTTACACAGCAAGAAAATCAACTCAAACTTAACTGTCAAAATCTTCTCGTTCTGGCAAGCAACTAAGAATAACACGCTAACAATCTGGTCACTTTTTCTATACTTTTCCCCAGCTTCTGAAAGTGGTATGAAAAATTAATTTCTGCTCTTTCGTCTAAAAGTTTCCCCTGCCTCCAAAAGCTGTAAAAACCTGTGAGATGAAATTTGACCTTTTCTCTATATTTCAGTTCACACTTGCACTGACTTCTGACCCTGGCCTAAAGAAGTCTGAAACTAACTATGCAAAAGATACAACTGACACTTCTCAAAATTTTTTTATGCGCAAAGTCACAAAACGAGCTCCAAAAAATAAATCCATGCATTCAACCAAAACAAAGACAAAATGCTATCATTGACTTCAAATCTCATGAGACACTAACTAAGAACAAAAAGAAAAAAAAAAAAAGCGAACAAAAACACGGAACAAATCCAAAGCATCATAATACAAAGCCACAAAACGAAACTCTTTGTTAAGTTTTTGTACAACAACTCTGGCGTACTGTACAAAGCCTTGCACCCTTCTCCACCATCCACGTTCACAAAACTCCTCCCAAAAAAACTCTCTCAGTAATAAATACAGTGTGGACAAAAAGCACTTGTCCGAGAGGGGACTCTGACAAAAAAGGGGAGCGGCGGCGGCGACGACACGGCTCCCTTCCCTGTGACCGGCGTGCGCGACACACACACACACACGTGACACAGCCAGCCGATGACACACACCATATACAGAACAAGTCATCACAGAGGAGGGGGAAAGCAAACTCGCACATTTGTTCTTCTTCACAACCACACACAAACAGTCCACCCATGCCATATATGATAATAGCGTCAGGCGTTTCCTCGTTGACCAATCACCACCACCACCACCACATACATTACGATACATCTCCACAGACGATTCACTCAAACAACAGGGCTAACCGCAGTTGACCAATCTTCACCACCACACAATCTGAATGACAAGTCATTTCTTCACTCATACAAACCCAGGGTAACAGACCACACCATACACAACATTTTATACAATTAACATCTGCCCGACATGGTACATTTCAAAATTTCAACAAAAAAAACAACAACTAACAAACACACAACCCAACTTAATTCATTTTTCAGCACTCTATGACTCTATGTGTAACTTTGATAACGGCTGCTCAAGCAGTTTAAAACTATATCTCTGTACAAGATTGTCATTTGGTCTACAGAGCAGAAAGCTCAAAATTACTGCGAGATTTTCATTTAGTCAAAGCAGTTGAAACAAAATTACTAGAATGTAAAGATGTCATCATAAGAGCGGTCTCAGCGATTCAAACTCAAAATCACAACAGAAAATAAAAAACTAGCTCAATTTTCATTTTCAAGGCAGACACCCAGCAACATCAACCTGCATTGTATAAAATAGTTATTTCCGAGTCATCGCTCCAACAAAAAACAACAACAAACAAAAAACACAAAACAAAACAAACCCACGCGCGTTTCATTCCCCAGCAGACCGCTGTGCACAAACGACCTGCACGCCCACGGTGAAGGAAGGAGGTGTGGTTTACAAAGGAAATATTTCCTACCCCCATACGGTGCAACAAAATGCAAACAAGATAATGACACACAAAACACACCTCGGAAATACTTCACAACAATGACTACTAAAGGAAGCATCAAGTACAAAACGATAAGAAACAACACAGCTCCAAAGCAACGTATGTACACACATATAAATCGTACGGTAATTATAAGGAAATTAAAACAGAACCCTAACCCAAATCTAAACCAAAAGCCTCCTAGTTATACAAGTGTAATAGAATCAGCCAGCTGAAACAGCAGAACATGGCATTCAACGCAAGGAAGGAAGGAAGAAAGAAATGGCCGCACAAGAACCTGGACGCAAGTCTCTATGTCCACTGACTGGCCGAACATAATGAATGAATAATAAAGAATACAGAAGGAAAAAAAACAACTAGTGAACAAAACTGTAATACACACACACACTTGTAATTAAGAACGACAATTAATGAGGGTTAGGAAATTTATTTCGAATCATGGGAAAAAGAAGCACTGTGATTTTCTGGAGGTAGGGGGGGGGGGGGGGCAGGAACGAACTTGACAACTTATTGAAATAGATACAAGGGTACTTAATGCTAGAGGACACGTCACCAATAACACAATAAATGCAAGCACAAAAGATAAATGAAAACAAAATCTCTTTCCTACTGACAGTCGCAAGTTGAGTAAAGTTCACAAAACAGAACAAATCGTTATTTCAAACAGCAAAAGACAATACCCTGGGAAATGGAAACTGTCTTACAATATTAACTCTGGCAATTTTGTCAGAGCCCCTTCGAGGACAAATGCTGGCAGCATTATTTTCGCTTCGTATGAACATATGAAGAAATGGCTGATGTGTTCAGTGTGTGTGTGTGTGGGAGGCAAATGCAAGACAGACAAAGAGGTATGTCAGAAGTTCCAGGAGACGCGCGCGTGTGTGTGTGTGTGTGTGCAACAAAGTGTGTGTGAATGGGACAGCAGATAGCAGTGTATCTTTGTGTGTGTGTGTGTGTGTGAGTGTGTGTGTGTGTGTGTGTGTGTGAGTGTGTGTATGTGTGTGTGTGTGTGTGAGTGTGTGTATGCGTGTGTGTAGCAGTCGTTTGAATGAACAACAAGGGAGTCTGACTAAACAATCTGCCGCTGTTATACTGTAAAGCGGTTTTTCACCGTCGATCCAGCCTTGCCTGCTGTGTCCGAGTGGGCCTGTGGATAAAGACAAAAACAAAACAAATTACAACAACAATCAACGACAAAAGTCAGGGTTATCCACTGTTTCATGTACGTCATTCCGAGCTAAATACAAATTGTCCTAACCACTGGCTCAGTAGCTGAACCTAAAACCTTTCAAAAGAATTCCTTACAATTCAAAATTACAAACGAAATCTACACATCCTCAGAAAAGGTTACAATTCTTCAAAGCAAAAGTAAATGTTTTGGGATATATACAGTCTAGCACACACATGGTAGCGAACTTGGCCTGATGCAGAAATCTTTGTGATACATATAAAAAAAATTTCTTATGCTGTAAATTTTTAAAAAAATTTACGTGAAAGAAAAAATTCAGGACCTCATAACCCAAACCCTAAGTGCGTGTTTGCATTGAGCGTACCAGATCGTATAATGTACTCAAATCCCCACATGCTATATCTTGTGTGCTTCAGTAATAAAAATTATAAAGTTGAACCTGTTGCCACCCCACCCCCTTATAAGAACCCAAAAAAATACTGAGCCAGAACATCTGTATATATTTGTCAAGACAGCACGATAGCGCCCACTTTCCACCATGAATTAATTATAAGAATAGAAATGTGAAAAGACGTAGAATCAGATCAATGTAGTCAAACTTCGATATATGGGGTAGTTATTGGCCGTGAGCTTCAATTTTGTAAAAACTAAAGAAACAGAAGGAACGACAGAGTGTGCCACAAGTCTTAGATTGTGTATTTCTGAAAACCGTGCCATTCATAATGGTGGCAGCCCTGAGGCAGCCACAAAATGGGCACGCAACATGTGTTCAACATTTCCTCAAGATTGCATGTACATAACCATGACACATAGCCTTACATAACAGACCAGCAGTGTCACATTACTTCTCTTTTACTCACAAATCCAGAATACCCAGCCTTCTTACCCCTTCTATTGAATCTTTTTCTCTGTCTCTCTTTTTACAATCATAATATACCTATGCAATTCAGTATTCATCACAATAACATCCAGATTGAATACTCAAACTTACCTGGAATCCAATGACAATTTTGGGAGGGACACTGAGGGATTCCTTCAACTTGATTCTGTAAATGTCAAATAAATAAAAGCTTTAGATACAAAATACAAAAACATTGAACAATTGGACGCTCTTTAAATGCGTATAGCAAAATACAATAAAGGACATTTCAACAATAAATTATATACCTGGTCAAATGACCAAACAGCTATTTAGGGTACTGTTAATGCAAGAATTAAAAAAAAAAAACCCAAAAAACAAGCATTTATTTTACTGCAACAGGAAAGTAATCTTGAGAAAAAATGTCAATTAAAAAAAATTAATTGACTACTACTACTATATACATAGCAATTTACTTTAAGTAACCTTGAAGGCCAGGAGACAGACATGCAAAACTAGCACCACAACTACCAAAATTTTAAGAAAAATTAAATCGACTAATACGGAAAGCATGTAAAATTTCAACATCTTCATTCCCTTACTTGGATGAATTGTACATAACAGCTTGAACTAAGAAAATTAATTCCATCTCTTTAGACAACAAACATCCCATGTTCCCTAAAATAAAAACATCAGTCAGAAGTAAAAGACCCATGCTTCTGATCTGTAACAAAGAAAGATACAGAAGGTCATTTCTACCATCATCTATCAAAATGCTTCCATCTTAACCATCTTGTTTAGTGTACTTACGACCTTAAAGCATGCATCAAAATAACATTGAGTGTGTATCTAGCTTACGATTATTATTGTTTATATTCTTGCTCATTTATATTATGCATGTGATTGTAAGCCTACTTGTGTGTGCACGTGTGTGTGTGTGTGTGGAACACCAAACCAATGTGCCAGGATCTGGACAATAAAGATGTATCTTATCTTATCATTTCATTTTACACACAACAAAACTTCTTAAAAAGGGGAAATGAAGACAATTTTAAAAAAATGTTTAAACCATTCTTGTATTCCTCACCCAATTTTCTTTGTGGCTTCAGTCTTCTGTGCATCTCTAGTCCACAATCCAAGTTTGTCTCCTTTGTTTCTTATATTTACAGTAGCACCACAGATCTCTTCTGAATGTTCGTCGAAGCCCTCACCAATCAAACATAAAAGCTGAGGGAAAACATGGATAACTTCATAAGAATTGGGTCAAAGATACAGTCATAAATGACGCACACAGCAACAGATCATATAAGGCAACAGTAAAACTATAAAATCAATTAAGCAATACTCCAGGGAAAGGTAAATAACACCAAAAAATTATTTTGTTTAATCAGGTCATCCACATACTCGTGATACATAACTACCAGCATGATATCTGCTATCAAAGATCCTATAATAATAACAGTAAAACTACAAAATTCCAGTTCGCCCCACCAGGCCAATAATTCTTAGTAGAATGCAGCCATCAAATAAGACGAAATTGTTGAAAACATTAACAATACATTCCACTTTCTACATGTGAACCCATATATTCACAAAAGTCTACACACAACTGAACCATCGATATCAGTCAACACATTGCTTAGATGCCACATTTCTAAATGAGAGGCTTTAGGACACTAGGCCTACGGTCCTCAGCTCATGACTATGAACCTACTACTACAACAACCAGTGTATGGAACATTAGATTCATGTTTTATTTTATTTTTTGGGGTTCTACAACAAAAGCATAACACCACAAGAGTCATCCACTCAACATTAGATTCAGTAGAAATGATGAACAAATTTGCAGAGAAATAAAAAGTCATAGAACTTAGAAGAAGTATAGAAGAGACAACAGCATGACTATGAGATCAAATTACTTAAAATAGACTTTATCTGGAGGAACTTGGGAACTGCAGAGACTGATAGAATAGTTGTCACATTCTTAAGACTTGTCATAGGCTCAATGTTCAGCACACCACACAAGCCAAATACTACTTCAAGCACGTACATAAAGAGTAAAAAAGGGAAGTACAGTTCATTTACCTATTCTAACTGCCACGTGTAGAAGACAATCATCTGTAAAAACAGACAATCATCTGTTAAAAACAGACAATCATCTGTTAAAAACAGACAATCATCTGTAAAAACAGACAATCATTTGTACAAACAATCATTTCCCATTCCCACCCTTGCAGGGTATTTTTTTTTTGTACACACTATAACGACACTGTGCAAGACATCCACTTTTCTCCTTGAAAATAGGTGGGCCGTCTTACACAATTTCGACCGAGGTACCGACACTCACCGTTTCTAACCAGAAATCGTCTAAATGTGTCTGGCGCTGAGTTTTGTTCAGGTTGATCAACCATCTTCCTCCCTTCTTATTCTGTGCGTCCTCCCACATAGGCTGGATGCCGGCCTAGGGAAAAAAGAGAGAAATAACAAAAACATGATGATGATGTGAGGGAGCAGCAAAGAGGTTAACAGGGGACACCTAAATTGAAATTCAGAAAGAAGCACAAAACAGATTCAAGCATCTATGTCTGTCATCAAAAAGTATGAGAGAATTTCAAAACTAACAACAGTATTCCTCCCAAGTAGGGAAAGAGAGGGGCTAGGGAGGAGGTAGGAGAGGAGATTCTAAAGGTGGGAGGTTAGGGAGGAGGTGGGAGAGGAGATTCTAAAGGAGGGGTTAGGGAGGAGGTTGGAGAGGAGATTCTAAAGGAGGGGTTAGGGAGGAGGTGGGAGAGGAGATTCTAAAGGTGGGGGGAGGGGGAGGAGGAGGAGGAGAACAGTCAGATTGAAGAATAAACATAGCATAGGATTTTGAAAGTAAATAGAGAAAAAAAATGTCACTTCAGTTCTTGTTTGTTTTAGTAAGTATTTTACGGCACATGCAGCACAATTAGGTCCTATAAATAAACACCAAAGGTTACAGGTATTACAAGAGAGTAACAAACACAAAAAAAGGAGAGATAAGAACGATAGACGTCTGATAGAACAGAAAAAACAAACCACACCAGAGCACCCGCCAACCACCTATCCACATCATATCTAACAATAATAGATCGAACGAGGCAATAAAAAGAGTCAACAAGACCATAATAAACAACCAGTTCTCGTTTACCTTAAACACGCTGTAATCACAGCCTGACTGTAATTTGCTAGCTGGAAGTGTGTGGTTGTACAAGCTGAAAAAAAGAAATTAAGAGCCAATTTGTAAAAACACTGAAAATGGAAATAAAAAATAGTTATATTATAACAATGAATGAATTTATCAGAGTGTACCACAGACCTGCTATATATAACATAACTTCAACAAACAAAGCCTTCAATAAAATACAATCTTTGATGACTCAAAATATTTCACATATATCAGACTTTTTTAGGCCATCCGCAGCATGACTACTGAGCTTAATACGATGATCTATACTAGGGGGTGTCAAACTCAATCCCTCAGCGGGTCAGCTCAGCTCAAATTTCAGGTTGCAGGCCAAACGGGATAAAAACACTCACCGAGCAGTAGTGAACTAAACCTTTTTAAAACATTGACATGCCAAATTAAAACAGATTAAAAAAGAGAGTAACAAATCAAGACAAATAAATTTTCACGCTTGTCATGCAAATTTGTAAGAGCCAGATGTTCGACATATTTCCATGGCAACAAATTCATGTTTATTTTGGAAAAAGGTTTTATGTTGTCAAGATTCTCAGAACGGGTTACATAGAATTCTTACCAGCCCACGGGCCACGAGTTTGACACCTGTGGTCAATACAGTCCAGTTAACATTACTACTAACAAATTAGTAGACCTGGAGAGCCATCAAACACACCCTTGTTACAAGTATTCATATAATCTTAGAGCATGTATATAAGAATCACATTTGAGTTACAATCAGAATACCGAGTACGTATGTATCTAGCTTAAAAGATTATTGTTTTTATTACTGAATGCGTGTGACTGTAAGCCTGCGTGTCTGTGCATGTTTGTGTGTGTAAGTGTATGTGCGTATATATGTGTGTACATGGTGAAACACCAAACCAATGTGCCAGGATCTGGACAATAAAGACATATCTTATTTCACAAAACTTTCCAGTTTCACACTCCACAAAAACACGCACTAAGAACAGAACATACCCCCAAAAGTCCTCAACAGTGTCGAATGTGGTGATCACCCTCAGGTTGTCTTTCCAGTCTCGTGACTTGTCGTTTTTGAAGAACCACATAGCCCATGAGTTCTGTAGCGGGTGTTTGATCACCATGTCGGGATCAGGAACTCTCTCCTCCTCCACTTCTGGCTCATCATCAGGTCGGATGATATTCACTCGCTGGAAAGAAGAAAAACGAACATCAGACATCAGAACATAATCCATTTATACACATTGAAATCAATGTAATCAAATACTTTTGAAATAAAATTTTTAATAAAAATTGATGCAGAACTGTCTGTAAAGCCTCTATGAATTCACACCAATATTATCATTCATCTTCAAACTTTTCGCACAAAGACAAACCAAACCAATGGAGACAAATCCAGTAAAAAAAAAGATCAGCTGGATTGTACTTTACCGGACCACCCGTCTCGGCCCGTGATTACTACGCACACCTAGCCTAACTACGCTCTCATAGTCATAGTACTCTGAGTGCGGACAAAAGGTAGTTCCGCGGGCGACTTCGCGCACTTACAGCGCAAGCCAGCGGCAACTGGCGAGGCGAGGTGAGCGAGAGTTGGTGGTTGAGAGTGGGCAGGGGATTTAACTTTGGTGGACCATGGTGTATCATACCAACAGTGGGGAGGGGGATTCAGGGGGGCTTGCCCCCCTGGAAACTATAATAAAGAAAACACAAAAATGCGAAACAATAACATGAGCGGACAGTCGTGTTTACATATCAATGTAACAACAGTGGGGGGAGGGGGGGGTTTCAGGGGGGCTAGCCCCCCTGGCAACAATAATTTAAAGACACTCACACGCACATTATATTATAAACAAAAGCATGAACGGACAATCGGGGTAGATATTCGCCAAGTCGCGAGCAGGGCCGAGGGGGTTGCAATTATGCAAATGAGCTCTCGTGCGCATCTCGTCTCTAGCCCTCCATTGTACTTTGCCGGACCAGGAGTAGGCCTAGGCCAGGCCAGCAGAGTTGCGAGCAAATATATGAATAGTGGACCACGTGATTAGATTGACCAATTAGCCTCAAGATGTCAGGGTCATGGGTCAAAGGGCATGGTCGTGATGACTGAAAAACCCGGTAATAGACGTCAGTCGATTGCTGGCAGTTGAAGAGTGAGGACGTAGAAAACTGAGTAAGAGAGTGAGTAGGGGAGCTCGGAAACGAAGAATAGCAGGCCACTAGGCACCAGGGGCGCCATAGCGAAAGTAGTTCCGACCGGTGGTCCGGTAAAGTACAATCTTACCAAAAGATCGTTTAAAAAAAAAAAAATTAGGCCTAGATCTAGATCTAGACAATCGTTACAGGTGCAGAGTCAGAAAAGCTTCCACATCTTCGCTACTGAGTACTGCAAGAAAAATGAACCAATTTGAATTGACCCTTGCCCTGTCTTAGAAAGCAAAAAAAACTTGGGAGCAACTACTTTTCAAGACACAGTGCAAACATGTTCATTGACATCTCATACAGAATAGCAAAAATAAGTAAATAATTAGTCTCTCTAGGCTAAGACTAAAACAATGCAACATATTTTGATGCCATGGACCGACCTTCACACTTCACTGTCACAGTCACAGGCATTCTATCAACCAGGTAACTAGGCTAATCATGAGCAGTTGGATTATCCAGCAGTGGAAACAAAATCTAACAAAGCAAAATGCCTGGACAAAAAATCTCAAAGTCTAAGATCTAGATCTAGATATCTAATCTAGACTGATCTAGTCATAGTCATAAGCCTCATTGCCAAGGCCAACAAGTTCATGACAAAAAAGTCAGCTCAACATTCTCTAACCAAACTTTGAAACATCTTCCAGACTCGATTACACTACAAACTAGAGGGTCTAAATCCACTCTTAGAGAAGAGACAACGTAAACGTAATTCCCCTACTCAATAGCCGACCAGAATTCTCTTCAAATACAAAATTAATTGAAACAACCCAGATATACAGTACGGTATAGGTACATTTTAGAAGATAAGTCTGGACTGTTTATTGCCGGCGTGAACTCGTGTCTCTCATGCCGTGCTGTCAGCGTCAACAGTGACAGAAACGAGACCGCACCGTTTTTCTTTCCATACTGGAAGGATGACAGGTTGAAATTTCGAAATCATATTTACCCTGAATATTGTACAATGGAAAATGGACATTCATAAACAAGACTGAAACCACATATATTTAAAATATCCAAGTGAAAGGAACAAAATATGAAAAGGATTTCTTACAGGTTCACTATCGCGTTCAGCCATGTTGCTCCGAAAATGGAAATCTGGCTTGGTTTGCCAGGTTTTTCACTTTCGTTCCAAAGATCTGTAGCGCTATCTGTAGGGTAGGTTAACCCGTACAGCTTTGCTTTTCTTAGTCATCCATCCAGCATGCACAATTTATTGTTTTACTTGAATTACTTTTCAAATTTGATGACATAACTTGATAACACGTGTCCCCTTTATTTTTGCTTGTTTTTAGTAACATTCTCTTAGCGTTCTCCACGTTATGGACAAAGTTTGCGAGACAAAGAGGCAAGCTTAATTGTCGACGTATTGCACAATGAACGAGATGCCGGTGCTTCAAAAAAGAGTAGGCTAAAAAAGCGTCTTAGGCCTATTGTAGATCAAGGCCTAGCGGATAGTCAAATTGTCGGCTAATTTCCCCCTTTTTTCTCGTACTTGTAGGCCTAGACTTTTCAAAACTTCACTTATTGTGTTGGCCACAACAAATATATTGAAAACATCTTATTAAAGGATAAGATAGAGCTGGGTGGGTTATAGTTATATATAGGAATTACTTTCGAGAATTAGAATAATTAACTGTGAAATGTATAGGATGTAGATCTAGTAAGAATCTACTTTTTATAAATTGCACTGGGATGACCATCCACTCGAAAATATCAGTCAAGGACTTCGAAAAATGCAGTAGCCTAGTAACTAAGGCTGGGTTATCTGAATTGAACGCATGGACACCAAAAAAAAAACAACAAAGCAACAACAACCAAAAACGATTTACTTTTTACAAAGACCAAACGATATTATTTTTGTCCAACATTTTTTAATAAAATTATTATTCTTACCGCTACACTAAGTCCAAGTGAATATCGTCCAAGCCTTGATTTTAAGATATCTCCGTTTGTACAGGAGCACGAAGTTCTGGTCTGGGATTTGTCCTCTGGTACGCACAGGGCGATAATGCTGGGTCCGTCACTGTTATAGTCGTCATCCCAATGATCGTCATAATAATCCTCCTCGTCGTCCTCCATCTTATAGGAGAAAACGGGAATTAGCGTTCAGAGTTCTGTCACAGTAGGCCTTGAGCCTTCACCAAGATCTACAACAATAATACACACCCCGGCCCTAAAATTGTTTCCGGGAAGGGCCAACAATTAAGCTTTTTCTAAGTTTGGAGCACTGAGTTGGAGATTCAACTTTTAAAACTCTTTCCCTTGTGAGATCTGTTACCTCCTTAATTCTCTTCAAATGAAATGGTTATTTTCTGTGGCTGACCACTGTTCAGGGTGTTCGGAAACAATAGAATGGCATGTCTGTCTGTCTGTCTGTCTGTCTGTCTGTCTGTTTGTCTGTCCCCCACCCCTATCTCTCTCTCTCTCTCTCTCTCTCTCTCTCTCTCTCTCTCTATTTCTATCTGTGTGGGTGTCTCTCTGTCTCTCCCCCCCTCTCTCTCCCCCTCTCTCTCCCCCTCTCTCTCCCCCTCTCTCTCCCCCTCTCTCTCCCCCTCTCCTCTCTCTGTCTCTGTCTCTGATCTCTCTCTCTCTCTCTCTCTCTCTCTCTCTCTCTCTCTCTCTGTCTCTCTCTGTGTCTGTCTGTCTGTCTGTCTGTCTGTCTGTCTGTCTGTCTGTCTGTCTGTCTGTCTGTCCCCTTCCCTCTCCCCCCCCTCTCTCTCCTTCCCTCTCCCCCTCTCTCTCTTTCTCTCTCTCTCTTTCTCTCTCTCTCTCTCTCTCTCTCTCTCTCTCTCTCTCTCTCTCTCTCTCTCTCTCTCTCTCTCTCTCTCATTCTCTCTAAGATTGGACGTCAGTCTGGAGAACATAAAGGACTTCTGGAACAATGGAGCAGTAAAATGTCTACAGTCTTGGCCTAACGCCCCTTTCCTTTCAAAACTATCATGTTATTTAAGAGGCAGGGACTTCGAATTTCATGTTTGTCTCCAGCTCCAACAGGATCGAGCTATATGGTTGAGAGCATTGAAAAACTTCTCAAAATGACAAGAGGTCAAGAATGCTCAATCTGGGATTCGTACACAACAGGGTCATTTAATCCTATGTTCAACATGACACCAATCGAGCTAACGGTGCGCCTGTGGATCAGTGACAAAGGGTGTAGACAGCATGGGGGAATAGACACGTTTAGTTTTAGTAGAAGTTTTACGGCGCTCGCGACTGCATTAGGTCATATGAGCGCCAAGGGGAAAGACAGGGTACAAGCAAAGATCGTGTAGTAGGGAATCTTTCGTACAAGCAGGTAGCGCCTGTATTATACTTTTATCTATAATATAAAGGTATTTTTAAGCCCCCATCGACACAATAATTTATATAATTTAGTAGGCCGACCCTGCCTCAAGCCTACAGGACAAATCCGGCTGTGAAGGATATATCATTATATCCCAGCAGGAAGACCGAGCTACTCCATAACTATATTATTATTATTGTAGTTTCTCCCCAAGGGAATCGAACTTGGTTCTCCTGGGTGCGTCAGCGAAGCGTCTAACTGCTACACCACCGGCACTGGTGTACATGATACATTATTATACATGTATATAGAATTAAAGATTAAAACAGCACCTGGACATGGATGGCTGGTGCCTCTATAAACAAATTATTGATGGCCAAGGTATACAATTAAAACGTGTGCGGGTGTTCCTCTCGAGTTCTGCTCTGGTACAAACCAGAGTCTGTGGTGTAGCGGTTAGGTGCTTCACTGTCGCATGCAAGAGATCCGAGTTTGATTCCCGAGTGGGCAGAATTTGTACCAATAATAAGTACAATGTATCTCGACAGTCCTTCTGATTGGATATACTGTATGGTATTTGTGTCCCTCTAGGCCCGAGCTGGTCCTCATGACAGGCAGGATCGGAAGACCGCCTCCTAAATGATCTTAACTGTGTCGATGGGTAGTTGTAAATACCTATATTATTTTTCTTCCTCTTTTTTATTTTAAACACAGGGTCAAAAAGGAAGCTTGGTAGTTTGTGGATGCAGGAGTCCCGGCCAAGGAGCATAATATAGTCGAATTTAACCTAGTCTAACTAACTCCCACCTGTATAAGACAATCACTTATGTGTACAAACGATCACATCCAATTTCCTCACATGCGCTTTTTTCCCCCTTTTTAAAAAACTTTCGTTGCTGTTGTTGTTGTGTTTTTTTTACATTTTACTGACATTGTGTAATACGTCTGTCTGTCTAAGACAACGACTTTTCTCCTGGATATTGGCTAGCCGTCGTAGACAGTTTCGGCTGCATAAATTATGACATATCGTTGTCGTATACCCACAGTATTCTACACTTAGTACTAAGTGTAGAATTCTGTGCGTATACCCAAAGATCGTGTAGACACGACATCGCATACAGCTATAAATAGAGCCGGGGTTGACTCCGCGGTAAGTGAACCATGACGACAGGCAAACACACGTCATCCAAAGCAGTAAAAAAAAAAAAAGTAGGCCGCGAGCTTGTGATTGGCGTGCACAGCAGTAATGGTCATCTGGAGGTATAATAATAATTGTCTGGGGCCTATCCACCCCCCCCC